CTGTCTGTAATGGTGAAGGTGGCTTGTCAAAATGATTGGCTTGAGAGTTACCTAGGGCATTAGTTAAGCATATTTCTGTGTGTGTCTGGGTACATCATGAAGGTTACCTTGGATACTATATTTGGTTCCTGGCTTTTCCCTCTCTGGTCATAGTCTCCTTCTCTGCTTCCTGGCTACCATGAACAAGGTGCTCCACCTGCTCCACTAGGCCCTTCCACTACGATCTTTCTGCCCTTCACCATGGGTTGAATGCCCTGAAAACATGAGCCGAAATAAACCTCTCTTCCTTTAAGCCATCTGCTAGGAACTGTGACCTTCATATGTGAAACCTAGTCTACTCCCCAAAAAAGAACATCTCCCTTTTGCAGTTTTAATCACTAGGTCTAATGTATTATCAATCCACACTAAAACAACTGAAAATAATACATTGAAGTATTTCTTTTCTTAGAATTAGGGATCCATAGACTAGCTCTATATTCTCAGACATCTCAAGAAGCATGATACTCTGATGTACTCAAGGTGCTAAGTGTGCTACTAAGGTTGCATTCTTTCCAGTTCTTTTGAAATTAACCACTAGAACAAGAGGGTTCTTTTTTGGTGAGAAACACTGAAGGAACTACTTTGAAAAATTGATAGTGTATCAATAATCAAAGAATTCTTAATGTATAAGTATACTCAGATGTACAATTCAAAGTTTACCAGATTTGTCTCTATGGGAATGTATTTTTTATGAGCAGAATATATTTATTGGTGGGAAAGGAACTCCTGTCCAAGAGAGGGACAGGAGGGGTCCTGAGTGGGTTGTCTCCTGGAAGTTTTTATTAATATGAGTGAATTTCTATCATGTGGGGGAGTTAAGAAGAGACAGATGTAAAACATATGACATTAGTGAAGGGAATGAGTTGAAGGACACAGTCTGAGACATTACCTAGGTCACAGATAGAGGGATCTCCACTATTAATTGCTCCAAAATGTTTTTTTCAGGGCTTTTTTTGTATTTAAGATAGGGTCTACAGGGTCTGACTATGTAGACTGAACTTGTAGTAGTTCTCCTGGTTCTAGCCTCCTGAGTGCTGGGATTACAGGTGTGCACCTCCACACCTAGTCTCCATCATCAGCTCAGCGCAACCTGGGGTGGGGGCCAGCATGGCATGCTGGGGATTGAACCAGGGCCCCTGAGCTATCTAGCCATCCCTTTGCTCCAAAATATTTTAATCACACCATTTTCTGACCATCTCTCCCCACCATATGCACACACCCACATTCCTTCTTTACATGCTATGACTACAATAACATCTCCGGGGTACCTGGAGAACTTGTTAACATTTGTGAAACTTTTGTGAAATATTTTACAAAGATGTAGTAGCATCATCCTGTTTGCAGTTAGTTGCTCAGGGTTTTATGTTAGAACTTTGAACCATGAACAACTTTATCAACTCTCTGAGGCCAAAGAAGAAATGTTTTGCTGGGAAAAATATCCAATTAAATTATGAATATGGTCTTTCATCTGAAAGATAAATTTATGGGCTGGGGCAATAGCTTAACAGCATAAGTACCTGCCTGACAAGCACAAGGTCTCGAGTTTAATCCCCAGTATTGCAAAAAAAAAAAAAAAAATCCAAAAACCAAAAGAAAACAAACAAACAACCCCCCCGAAACCCCAAAAATGAAATAGCTATGCAATGAAAGATAAATTTACAATTTAAAGAATTCCCAAATTTTTACCCCTCAGGCTCTATATGGTGTTCTTCAAAAGTACATCGGTTTGCAAATTCTAGTTAGACTATCAGAAGTAACAATACGTATAAGAAAAATAACCTCATCTTGAAGTATAAGGAAAACTATAATATCTTTCCCTTTATTTTAATGAGGAAACTGAATAATATTTGTTTTCTAATATACAAGGAAATTCTAATGTGTTTAAGAGCAGAATTTACTAGGTTAATTCCATTAAGGAACCATGTACTTCATAATTTATATATACTTATAAAGCACATGAATTAAAATTATTTCTGGGAGAACTAAATATCCAGTGAAGTGGTTGATAAACCAAAGTGACAGTCATGTAGTCTAGCAAGAACCAGTCTCCATACATATCAGTGATTGACACAGAGAACAGCACATTTTGCCGTGGCATTAGCCCTGCCTTTCCATTTCATAGCACTTGTGGAAACTACGCTCTTAGACCCCAGCTTCTTGGCTCAGTTCTATAAGTTGAAGTGTGCCATAAACAATAACCAATACTTTTAGTAGTTCCCAATTTTTGCCATGACATCTCCAAATCATTCATCAAAACACATCACTCAACGATCTTGGAAAAATTTAGAATTGACTAAAAATATCATTCCTATCCATAAAATATAATCTGTAGTCAACTAGAATGCACAGAAAACACAGTGTCAGTTGAGAGAAAAGGAAAATTGCCTCTGTTAGAGCAGAATTTTGGAATCTCAGTTAAGGAGAAAATGATATATCAAGGTTTTGAGGAGCTCTCAGGGAATTCTATATGGCTTTTAAGAATAAATACAGGAAGTCACTTAGAGGCTGAGATGTACAAAGGCCCGGCCTGATTTCCAAACTCTTCTTTTTCTCTCTTAGGTAGCCTGAAGATTATATGTAACTTGCAGCATATCTTAAAAGTGGAAAAAGGGTGGCCTGTTCAACACTGCAATGTGTGTGAGCAAATAAATTTGAGTTTGGTTAAGCAATCAAATAAATACATATGCACTTTTAGTAAAATAACAAACTAAAACATTTTCTTTGTATAATTTCCAACTCTTTTGGAAAGAGAGATGAGAAATCTAAACTTAAAATGCAGCTTATTCTCTATTCCTGAAGAACAAGGAAATTTTTTCCTTTAGATTTAGAATCTTGCAGTTTGTTTTGCAGGATGAATATTTTACATATGAATTTTCATTGTATACTACTGTAAATATAAATACAGATTGTAAGATGCAATTGATACATCTTTGCCCTCAACCACATAGGCACTATTTTAAGAGAAAATTTATTAAGTTCCTGATATTAAATTATTTTTTAGTTATGGTGTTATCATTTATTTTGAAAGTAATCTGCTAAAGAGTTGACCTGACCAAAGTTCTATTATTTATTGACCATAGTTTTGGGGTAAATGTAGACGTATGTATTTATTAAAATTCTAGGATGGTTATATGAACATTTATAAGATGAAATAAAATTATATTTGTAAAGTAATATAAACCAAAGTTACAGCAGTAAATTATCTAACTATTCATCTAAGAATGAAAAAAAACTAATAATCTAAATTTCTGGGGGGCCTGCCAGATATCTCAGTGGATTAAAGTGGCTGCTTAGGCAGCTGCAGGGACTGGGGTTTGATCCCCAGTGTGTAATGCCAGCCCTGCCCCCAAGGTGCTCTTAGAGAGCAACTGAGACTGGGTCGGGTGGCACACACTTGTAATCCCAGTGCTTGGGAGGCTGAAAACAGGAGAATCACTACGAGTCCAATATGTGTAGTGAGACCCTGTAGGCTCTGTACTAAATACATAAAAAAATAATAAAAATTAAAAAAATAAATTTGCATTGCTGGGCTAGGGATATAGCTCAGTGGCCTAAGTGCCTTCCTGGCAAGCGTAAGGTCCTGAGTTTGATCCCCAGTACCAATAATAATAATAATAATAATAATAATAATAATAAATTTGCATTGCTTATATATACTAGAACAAGGCACCACAGGAGACATCTGCAAAGACTGAGTCAGGTTTTGTTCTAAACAAATTACCTTGAAAGGATCAAAGGAATTAAACATTAACTGACATTGTAGAAGAGCAGGTTGGCTCAGAATAGTTTGATAAAACAAGAAAACCCTATAAATTGCCACTGTCACCTGCTCTAGCAGAACAGCAAAGTGCATGAAATATTATCAAAACTAAATACAAAAAGGTGGAGGAAAACAAGAAAGGTAGAGACAGAAACTTTGCATGCTGTAATTTGATTTTGGAATTATTTTCCAATTGGGATATACTATGATTTTTTAAGTAATTTAAAAATATGAAAAAATAGCACTAATCCAACAATTCATTGTATTATTTTGACATGACAAAGGGTATTTGCAATGCTAGTAAAGTTCTATCACACCAAAAAATTAACTACACATACAAAACGCAATAATAACTCAGGAAAATCCTATCAGTTACTGAGATATAAACTTCAGGAAACTTTTAACTACAGAATATGATTTCCACCAAGATTTCATTTAAACAAAACTATCCTGAAGTTCTATTTTCACTGTTCATGCTTATGAAATCTTATAGCAATAATTTTTGTTTCTAGGAAAAACAATTGTCTGAAAATTGTATGATCATTAACTATGACAAATTTAGTCATCTCATTTTTATTTTCACAGATCATGTTTGGAAGAAAACTACAAAATGCCAGATTAACATTTCAAAACGTATTTGAAAGTAATGAAGAGAAACTGATTCAGTTAGCAACGCTAAATAAAACAGACAATTCATACAGATGCTTTCCCTGTAAAATATTAAGTAAACACTCAAAATGGCAACCTTTTCAATTTAATAAACCACCCCCTAACTTATTTCTTGGTGTGAATCAAGTTTCTGCTTGACCAAAGCTCTGATTTTGTATGCAAGTAGTTTTTTGTGAGTGTGCTTCAAAACTATGTACTTTTCAGAAGATCAAGGTAGTGATCTAAAAACAAGAAAGGTAGAGAGAAACTTTGCATGCTGTAATTTGATTTTGGAATTATTTTTCAATTGGGATATACTATGATCTTTTGAAGTAATTTAAAAATATGAAAAAATAACACTAATCCAACAATGAAATGACAGATGAATCTTCCTCTTTCTTCTGCCTCTCTCCTCCTTGCGCAAATGCAGAGATATACCAGTCTGTGTAAAATGACTAGGTTATTTTGTTCCCAGCTTATCAATTGCAAGTACAAAAGCTGAGAATCTCACAATTGGGTTCGCGAGAGTACTAAAGTGCCACGCTTGACTTACTTGCCACTGTTTCATCAGCTCTCTGACTCCCTTGGAGTCTTCTAGCAGCCGCTCCTTATGGGTAGCATCTTGTAGGACATTGGCAGTTGTTTCAGCTTCTGTAAGCCAGGCCAGAAACTTCTCCAGGTCCAAGGGGAACTGTTTCAGTAATCTCTGAGTGTCTTCCAAAGCGGCCTCTCGCTCATTCACTCTGCAAAGGAACAAATAGTCAGATGCAATCCTCAAATATGAAAGTGGTTCCCCTAGTGAACTCTCTGATAAGAGCAAGATGTGTTAATCCTACGGCTCTTCTTTTAAACAGCAACTACAATACTGTGCTGTTTGCTTTCTTTTCTATTTAACACAAAGGCTTCTATGGAGGGATGCAAGAGTATTAACAGTGAATGCAAGCACAGATTTCTATAAACCCTTACCACATAAACGGTATCACACAAACCTTGAAATTTTAGACATTTGTAAGCTCATATAGAGAAATTAAAAATTATTGTTCTAAAATTTTGTAGTTTGTGCTGCAAACATTGAAGCTAATGTGTTTAGTTTCACCAGGCCTATCTTTTATGTTACTCAGAGGCAGGAAACCAGGATTAGATAAGCAAGGTGAAAAGTCAAGAAGCTCCGAACTGATGGTTGGAAGGTGAATACTGGAGGGGGGAAATGGAAGAACTGGGGGCAAAGGGAAAAATGACTGACAATAAGAAAAATAACATTTCATAGAAACCACTGTACATAATGTCATTCTGCATGATGCTATAACTTTTGAGTTAGGTTCATATTTCAATACCTGACAGTCATGCAGCTGAGGATATTATCCAAAAGAAAAATCTTATGTGTTGTGGAAAAAATAGAGCTGGGCTTCAATTCCTACTGTCCCTTACCAGTTATGCTATATGGCAAGTTACAAACCTCTCTGATTTCTCATTCCCCATTTGTAGTAGCTATGGCTGGGATGGGAATCAATTATAATGCCACAGGTAAAGTGGAGCTCCTTGCGTGGTACAGTTGCTCCAATATTATAGTTTCTCAAAACTCTTTTACAGGAATAAAAGAAATTCTCCAATGACATAAAAATCTTTAAAAATTCCAATTTTCTGGTTATAAATATATATTTTATATATAAATACAGTGTATATATATAAAAATTCATGTGTTGTGGATATACACATATGCTTTCAGCAAGCATCTACATAACAATAGCTCAGGAGGGAAAATTGCCTCAGGCAATAACAGTCCCATCTAAAATGATTCAGGTAAATTTTGTCAGCAATGAGGAAATTAGTACTCTATTTAAATGCCTTATTTGCTTTCTACTACTACACAAACACTTTCTGGGATTAAACATAAGCTAAAAATGGATTTTAAAACATTGAACAGTTAAATATGATACACACTGCTTGTTAAGACGTGATTGTCAATAATTATGCAAAACTGGAATTTATTTCAGCAGCAACTTTATCATGGGATGTGCAAACCAGGCAATAAACAACTCCTGCCGAGCCAGCGGCAGCAAAGCCCCCGGAAGAGCTGTTTATTCATCATGGGTGAGGTTTTTGCTGAGCACACAGTCTTCTACAGTGTAGTTGCAGCACTCATACTGGATAAAAATCTTCTGCCTGCATTAACTGGTGGAGAATAGAATAGGTTTCTGAGGATGCAGCTATTGGAGAAAAAGTAAGCATTGCACCAAGCTATTTATCAACTCCTAAATAAACATTAATATCACATAGCTGAAAGGTTGCATCATGTTCTGGTTAGGCAAAGAAATTAAACCTCACAGAGCTTGAGTGCTAATTTGGACTGCTGACTGTTTATCTAGTAGGCAAGCTGTCAGTACAGGGAGAAATATCAAAATCATCATTTATTTAGTAGGATTTAAAGATTTGAAAGCATTGTCATGGCCCTGAGAAAATGTTATAACTGGGCATGCAACATACAGGTGGAGCCCTGTGTAACTGCTGCTGGAGAGATAATTTCATCCAGTTTGCACTAAGACTTACTCTATCTCCAGCCCCAAAATTTGGGATAGGAGTAGCCTGTCACATTGTGGAAGAAGGCAAGTTTAGACACTGACATACTTTCTAAAACATTTCAATTTCAAGCAAAATAAAGGGACAATATGAAACTGCCCCATGATAGTGAAATCAAAAATCAGACAGTCTACATTTTAGTATCTTCATGATAAGCTGGGCTTGATGTATCTTAGCTCCTCCGTCCTTAACCTAGAAACACCACTTACCTTCTGCTTCCAGAGAAAGTAACTAGTAAATAATTTTTAAGAGTTATTTGCAAAGTTCAACACACATAAATAAAATGAAAGGGTTCTACCCAGACAATGAGATTTCTAGCCAAATCTTACCAGTGAGTTTATCGCCTTGTAAATGATACCTTGAGGGAAGATGCATAACTCTTTTAGGACAGTAAGGCACCATTTTCCTAAATGATACCCTTGCGGTGTGAGATATTGACAACATTAGGCTGAATATTTTCTAATTTAGGAAATACTTTAGAAAAATCCAATGGCAGTAACAGCAGAAAATGTCTTCAAATGAGCTCTCTTACAATCTTCTTTGATCATAGGTGAGACTGTTGTTTCCTCCATGTGTGGGGGTTTTAAAGACTACAGACTTTCTCCTAGGTTCAATACATGCACTGTGAATTCCTAAATTATAGCTGTGCCAAGTCTAGACTAGAAATGAGTCAAGGGTACTTAATTTCCATATTTGTGCTTTCAAAATAGCTCTAAATATAGCCATAGCTTTTAATTTTCCTCAACCATATGGCTTTGAGAGGCTTTCATGATAAATAAAAGTATAAAAATGAGAATAAGTATGGAATAAAAGACTGGCATAGAATAAAACAATTGTAACCATTATTTTTTAAAAATTCCTTTGTACAGGATATACAACTATAGACACTGGAGAAAATTTGGTTGGATTTTAAAAGCAACAATGGCTACATATTAGAAATAGCAATAATATTTTAAAATAAAATATTATACTATTTAAGGAGTTTTCACATAACAGAGCTTAGTCATTAGCACTTCTAACTTTATAATACACACAAAAAAGCTGAGAACATGATGGAGTAACGAGTGGTATGGTGATTTCAAAAGGTTTCTGTTTTATCCGTAAGGGTACCCTATACCATTCTCAGTTTATAAATAAAGGCAATGTGGGACACTGGATCTCAAAATATAGCCCATGGATCAACAGGACCAGACTCTTTAGAGAGCTATTAGAAATAGTTTCTCAGCACTCAGGCTAGACCTACTAAATCAGAAACTGTAGGTGGAGTCCAGCAAGCTGTTCCAATAAGCCTTGCAGGTATTTCTACCATATGTTAATGTTTGAGAATCACTGCTGCTGGGAATCAAACTTTGAACTGATGCTAAACTGAGTTCAGATCTCTTTTCAGAACTGAATTACTTCTTGTCCTAGCTGTTAGCTGACAGACCTCAGCTGCCAGCCCTATTTCAGAGGGACTAAAAAGAGCGGCCTAGTCTTTTTATCCCCAAGTCAGGTTGCACCCACTGAGTGGTTGATGTCTGATGTGTGGGTTGTAAAAGTCTGGCTCCCCTGTTTCCACCAGGACAGTTCTGAAGGGCAGTTCTAGCTCCTTGTGGGCAAGGAAGGGTGGCCCAGTTGTTATAGTGACACTTGCTTGGTAGTTGAGCTTCTTCTGCCATATACTGCTTCCTTTTTTTTCTCTCTTCACAGATGTTTAGCCTGAGAATACTCTCTAATAAAATTTCTGGACATGAATTGCTTTCTCAGAATCTACTTTTAGGGGAATCTGACCTGTGAAGTCTGAAGCTAGATATGAATTTTTAAAAATTACCTATGGAATGCATATGAAAAAATAAACAACTGTTTGCACAGGCTGTGATCCCTAAAGGTGACAGGATGGAGGATTCTTACAACTCAGCAATTGTGCCTTGAAGATTGCTAAACTTCTGGTGGATTTGTAGAGTGATCAGGAGATAACAGAGATTTCCATAATCAGTTAGAAGCAAGAGTACACTGAAAGGGCAAAATCCTAAAGGGATATAGTTTAGCACAACTCTCTGTCAGCCCAAGACGGTGATCATCCAGGGACAGCCCCAGAAGAAGGTGACAGAACATAGCTTAGAATCTCAGTTTTTTTCATAAACCAGTTATCAATGAGACAATAAGATCTGTATACCCTAATTTGCCATAAGACAGACACAGATATCATGGTATGTGTATTAGTCAGATTTCCCTTTAATGGGACAAAGTACCCAATATTCATAATCTAAATGGAGTTAGGGTTCATTTGGGTCATGATTCAGGGAATTCAATTCATGGTTGAATGGCTTCACGGCAGGAATATGATGGAAGGGCGTGGCACAAGTAAGCTCCTCACCTCATGGCAGCCAGAAAGCAGAGAAAGACAGAGACAAGGAGGGAGACACACTCTCCAAAGGCACACACCCAACAATGTCCCACTCTCAAACAGGCCCTAGCTCCTAACAGCATATTTCCTTATGAACTCATCAACAGATTGATCTACTGCTGCATCTAGCAATTCCATGACTTGGTCCCTTTTTAAAAGTCCCACCTCTGAACATATGAGGCTTGGGTGGATGCATTCTAGATCTAAACTATAGGAGCATCTCTGAATAAAGGTCTAAGACTGGATTTTCTATGAAGTCAAAATTACCAATTTCTTATTGGCCAACGAAAAAGAATGGAATTGGTTACTTTCCAAGCTAAGGCAAAAAAGCTTAATCATTTCACTATTAGATATATGGATGAAAATATTTTAACAGTGCAGGAGTGTGTGTATGTGTGTGTGTGTGTAAAATCAAACAAATTCATTCAATATTTTTATCATAAGATGGGTTCAATCTGAGATAGAAGGTTATTTTATGCAGATGTTGCTGCAACTGTGGTCAACTGGGGAAATTCATAGCAGTCTTCAACTATAAACATTTTCATCTTTATCCTGTAATATCAGGAAGTAGCCAGGTAAGCCAACCTCCTCATTTATTTTCATTTTAGGGAAAGGCTTATTTTTAGGTCAAGGCTTAAAAGTATGAATTTTTTCTTTTCTTTTTTGTTTTTTTGTCAGATATAGGTCAGATTGAATGAACACCTAACCAGTACATGTTATCAGTACATGAACTTTAGACCAGAAAGTTTCTTATAATCCCAAATATTACTGATAAAGCTA